AGCTTGTTATCAGCACTCAGTTTAAGAGCCTGTGTCATCAGTGCCTATGGAATTGGCAGCTTTGCACATCTGGAAAGGCACCATCAGTGGTGGAGGGTATATAAAAGTTTTAAAGTAACATATACTCCCATCTGAACATCTTCCAAAAAAAAGAGCTGCATGTTTGAGCAAATCAATGCTAAATCACATACTGCATATATTAAAACAACATGGCTTCACAGTAGAAGAGTCTGGGAGGTAAACTGTCCTGCCTGCAGTCACCATCTGAACACATTTGGCATACGATGAAGAAGACGAAGGACTGTCGAGCTGCTAGAATAACAAGAACAACATTTCTCTCCCAGAAGTCCAACAACTGCTCTCCTCAGTTCCCAGATGTTTACAGGTTGTTGTTAAAATATATGTTTTCCATATTCTATTGTGAATAAAATATAGGTTTATGTGATTTCCAAATAATAGCATTCTGGTTTTAGTTATATTTTACATAGTTTACCAACTTAAAAAAAAAAAGATTGGAAAACATAATCTTTTTGTTTTCATTTAGTTTGTTTATTTTCTTAAGATGTACTATGTTTAACTATCAGTCACTGAGAGCTTCCACAGATTAAAAAACCCTCGGTATTCATCATTCTCTCCACTTGCCTCTGCTGTGTGTCCCTTTAATTAGTCTGGCAGAAACACTTATAAATGCAGCGCAGCATGACTAGCATAAAAAAGAACTCCTGTTGCATGTTTTTGTGTCCTATCAAGGTATATGTTATATTTGAACATTATTACTGCTGAGAGAAACTTCAGCCCTGCAGGTGATGTGTTTCATACTAGAAGAGAAGGAAGGGAAGGAAGTGGGCAGCCCACTTTATTCACATTTTTTTTTTCTTTTGGCTCAAATTAAATTACATACAGAATTTGAAATAATGAAAAAAAAAAAGAATACATGAAGTGAAAATGAGTTTATTAGTTATCAACCTGTGGACCAACCTCCTACACACAACTGCAACAAAACACATCTGAGCTGCACCATATCACAGTCTGCTGCACTCAGTGAGGGACTGCAGCGTGGGAGACTTTCCTGGACATGGCACCATGTTGGAGCTTCGTCTCCCCTCGGTTTGAACTCCTACGCTCATCGCCGAGCTCAGGCGGGAGTACAGCGCAGGTGTGTGCTTGTGTGCGGGTGTGTAGCGACCTCTAAACCAAAGTAAAAAGACACAGTGTGTGTGTCAGTTATGTCGGTGTGTGTGTGCGTGTGGAGCGTGTGTTTCCCTGTGCTTTTAACAGTGCGATATTGTCTCTTATCACACTCTGGCTGTAAATCAGTAGTAGTGGTGATGTCGGGTTGGGGCAGCTGTCACGGCTCAAGTCAAGATGAAGGAAAGGATTGAAAAGAGGAAGATAGAGAGGAGGGGGGTATGGGTAAAAGGAGGCGGGAGTTGAGGGGAGCTGCTGTCCGTGGGCCGTGGCCTCAGTCTCAGCCTGTCCTCCTCTCAGTGCTGGATGCGCCTGATGGACTGGATCTGGGGGGTCTGACAGTGGGAGCCCCAGTTCCTCCAGTGCTGGTAGTCTCCACTGTGTCTCTCACACTCCATGATGTACTGCTGGCCTCTGTAGCCAGGGTACTGGTAGCAGACAAAGCTGTGGGACAGATGGAGAGGGCAGCAGAGTCAGTTTTCAGTAGCTGCTGTCAGAATTAGGATTTAGTAATGGGAATAATATGTGCTGATGATGGATTTTAATTATTTAAAGAGTACAGTTTTATAGGCAGATGATGTTTAATGGTCACAAAATAGGGACTGCGATGAATATTTGGTTAGGGGTACCATCCCCATGTTCGTTTTTAGGGTGATACTTACGCGCCACACTGCACGTGCATGGAGCCGACTTCAGGCATCATCCATCCCATGGCCTGCAGAGAAGGGTAGTCATCACAGATCTCCACGCTGCGGCCCAAGAAGTTCTCCTTCTCAAAAATGAGCATGCGACTGCTCTGGTGGGACTGAACAGGACAGAAAAATCCAAGAGTTAGGTTTGAGATTTCAGGGTTCAAAAGGAGGATGTGGTTGGACCCTGAGAGAGTCGGGGTGTACTCACGGCGCAATAGATGGGGCGCAGAGACATGAGGCGCTCCACGTGGTAGGAGATGGAGCCGCTGTAAGCGTCCCAGTGGGGGTACTCTCCTCTCTCCATGATGAACTGCTGGCCCTGGAAGTCGTGGTGCTCGAAACCCACCCAGCTTCACAGAAGAGACACAGAGAGGCTGGTTTACATGATGCTCCCTTTAAGAGTTGGTCTGTAATGTAGGTTTTTGTACCGCTGATAAAATCTCGGCTCTTCTTTTTGTCTCCAAAGTGAGATTTACAGTAAAGAAACAACTTTTTTTTCAACTGCAGGTGAGCTACAATAAAAAAAAAAAACCCCACATCTTTGTATTCTTTTTACAAGAATTTTTAGTGTTTTTTTAGTGTTTGGAATAGATGTGATCAAAAGAGGATTAAGCCTATATATATTTCTTTAACTCTGTGCTGGTCCACTGGGTTTTGTTTTCATCTATTTGTTATTAGTAACAAAGAGAGTTTTGAGACTTACGCTCCGCTCTCCACCCTGATGGAGCGGATGTTGTCCAGTCCGCACTCCTGGATGTTGCAGCACTCGGAGGTGAACTCCAGGCACTTGCCCTGGAAGTGCTCCTGCTCAAACACGGTCACCTGTGGAGACAGGTCAAAGTGGGGAGGAGTTTAGATACTGCTGCTCCAAAGGCTATAATAAAACATTTCATATACACCTCCTCACGAGCATTTGTTTACCTTGAAGAAAGGAGCCATGCCCATTCCTGAGGTAACCAGGGGCTGGATCATTGGGGACCTTGTAGTTCTGTACATCTTTACTCCTGGATGTGTGGATGTAAAGTAAAGAACAGGAAGTTTTTGGTGAAACAGTGTCAGAGATAGTAATAATTAAAAATAATAATTTAAATAAAATAACCAGACAAAAACACGCTGGTGTTCGCGCTCACAGTAACTCCACCTCAAACTCCACCTTCTGCATCGTTTATGCTGCACAGCTACGACATTTGAAGGGTGGTCTGGCCATGAACAGCTAATTCACACTTTTAAAGCAAATATATATATATATATATTTTACAATCTGACTGACAGCAACATAAGTGTTTCACAGGTGTCACAAAGTGCTTTTGGATTTCAGTTTCTGTGTGAAAGCACCACCTGTCTGTCGGACCCTGAGCTGAGCTGAAAGCAGAGATGCAGCCTTACCTAGAATGGCACTTTATTGGAAGAGCTCGGGAGTGGTACGCGCCTACCGCCTGCCTCGCGTAGAGCTTTCAGAGAACCTGGCGCTTCAGTTTTATATCGACGGTCGGGGAGCGCGCCTACTTCTGCGCGTTCGCGCGTACGCTTCGGACCATGCAAGCTCTCCGTTTTGGCACAGTAACCATGCGCGCGCCGCCGGAGCTGCTGTGTGGCCTCTGGACGCTGTTGTCCCCCTCCAGCGTCTAGCTCAGCAGATCCTAAAGTGCTGCCGAGGCTCGGAAACAAAAGCCTCTCCAGTATGATCGGACCCCGGTCAGCAGTCCAGCGCGTGCCCCGCGCACAAAGGGTCGGGATCGGGGCGGAAAATGTGGGGATTAACGGCGCGGCAGAGAGCCACGCATAAAGTTTTAACTGGGTCGGTGTGAACGAGTGTACAGAAATGGAAGTGGAAAAGGTTTAAGTTTTCTCTTGTTTAATTAGTAGCATCTAATTGAAGCTGCTTAACCCTACTGATCTGGAAGTTTGACCTAAATTACCAGTCAGACAGACAAGTAAAACACAGTGTAACTGGTACCTTCCAGTTACATCCCAGTTTAAACACCTATTCATTCAAAGTCAGGTTAGATTGTGCAGCCTGTTGTTATGTTGCCAGTTGTTGTCTGTGGGACATGAAAAGGTTGTATACATCATACAGTAATTAACCTTTAAAAAGCATAAATACACATCTGACACTTTATTTAAAGGGCTGCTTTGTTTTATAGTTTTCGGTCAGGGTTATAAAACAGCTTACACATTTTTACTCTTCATACATTCTGTTCCTACAGTCTGGGGAACTTGGTTTTATTTTAAATCACACATTCAAGGGGAGACAGAAGACTAAACTGTCTGAAATCTAAACCTGACTACTTTTTAATTGGCCAGTCTGTGCTCCAGCTGGTGTCTGTCCTCCTCTGTCTCTGCCCATCCCCATCACCCTTGGTCCGTCCCTCTCTGATGATGTGGGGTTTCTTTTGTCTCTTGTCTCTGACCTCAGCGAGTTTGTTTCTCTTCCCATAATCCCTCTCCTATGTGCGCCAGCGTATAAAAGCGAGGGGCGCACTCCGAGCCACACACACTCTGAGTGAGGCTCGGCACAGGCATCGCACACACAGGTAAGGTACACGCTCACACGCCAGCAGGAGGTCCAGCAGCAAGCGGAAAGGGCATAGATTAGGTTTAAGCTTTCCTTTACCTTTAATTCATTTGAGTTCCTCAACAATCTCGTGGCAATACGAAAGGCTGCACTTATCACACGAATAAACAATCTCTCCCTATTTCTCCCGTTTCTCTTTCCACTCAGTAATCATGTCCAGCGGAGATAAATCCAAGACTTCCTCCCAGACTGACGGAAAGGCTGCCCAGAGCAAGAAGTCTGAGATGGGAATGATGTCCTACAAGGTGGGTGGTTCTCTCCTGTTTCAGATACAGATAACAGTGGCTACGCTGAAAAAATTCACATCACAGACCCTTACTGATGTTGTTCTAACGTATTACTTTCCTCCAGATGTACGTGTTCGACCAGGAGAACTTCCAGGGTCGCATGATCGAAATCAGCAATGAGTGCATGAATGTGTGTGAGATGGGCATGGACCGCGTGCGCTCCCTGCGTGTTGAATGTGGACCGTAAGTGTCAAATGAAATACACTTGTGTTTGTGCATCTAAGATTTAGATTGGTTGCTTCATGACGCTTCCTCGTCCGCAGCTTCGTGGGCTTCGAGCAGATGAACTTCTGCGGTGAGATGTACATCCTGGAGAAGGGAGAGTATCCCCGCTGGGACTCCTGGAGCAACTGCCAGAAGAACGATTACCTGCTGTCCTTCAGGCCCGTCAGAATGGTAAAAATCTTCTATTTCTTTAAAACGTCACTTTTTTTCCTCTTTAGACTCCCCTCTAAATAAAACCTCTGTCTCCCTCTATTTTCCCATGTGCCAGGACCCCGAGAAGCACAAGATCTGCCTGTATGAGGTTGGAGAGTTCAAGGGCCGCAAGATGGAGATCATGGACGATGACGTCCCCAGCCTGTTCTCCTATGGCTTCACCGACAGAGTGGGCAGCATCATTGTCAGCTGTGGAACGTGAGTGTCAAGCATCAGTGGAGCTTAAATACCAAATTTAAAGGCCATGAAAACAAATAAATTGACATGTTTCATCTTTTTTTCCCAGCTTTGTGGGATACCAGTTCCCTGGATACCGTGGCAGCCAGTACCTGCTGGAGAAGGGCGAATACAGGCACTTCAACGAATATGGCGCCCGCCATCCTCAGTTCCAGTCTGTGAGGCGTATCCGTGACATGCAGTGGCACCAACAGGGCTGCTACACCATGGCCAGCAAGTGAGGCTCAGGGAAGGAGAGAAAGAGAAAAAGCGGAGGTGAGGGAGAGGGGCGGAGGAAGCGGGAAAGGGGGAGAGACGTCTGAGGCCTTTACCTTAGTGCCTTAAGAAGGTCTTTGATCTAATGCAGTGAGGGGAAGGGTGAGGATCTATGTCTGCCCCTGACTGGAGAAAACACCTCAGTGGAAGGGCCAGCTGGACCACAAAACCATCAGACCACCCTCCATTCCTCTCTGTTTCTACTTTTCTCTTTCTCCCCTGTGGGCTGAGCTTTGCTTTCCTCCCTTTTCTTCTTTTATTTTTATTTTTAGTCCCTCGCTTCATTCCCCTCCACAGACCTCTGAGACACAGTAGAGGGAACAGAGTGTCTCTTACTGTTTTACATACACGATTCTCAGCTCAGGGTATGATGCACCATGGGAAACTGAGTCCTTAGAGCCCCCTGCTCCCTCGTCTTCCTGCCCCTGTGCATTGCACACCCTCTCTGCTGTACAGAATCCTGGCCAAGTTTTCAATAAAAAGGAAAATCTTGATTTCAAAGATGTCGTTGTTGTTACTTATTACATAGAAATCACTTAAATTAATATAAATCAATAACACATCATTTAAAAAATGGATAAAAATGTGGACAGCCGGACACTTAAATTTTTGTTTTTCTTTATTTTAATAATGCGAGCCAGTGTTTCTTCTGTGCGATTACAGTTTTCAGTGTCAACATATGGTTGTTAAAAATTCATTGAATAAACACTGATGTTTTTTCTGGTTTGGGTTTGTTAAACTTTTGCATACTCAGCTTTAAAAACCTCCCAGTGCCACAATGCTTTGTGTTGCATAGAAAAAGAGTCAGTTGGGCAGCAGAGCAGTTTCAGACATGTGATTCTGATCATGTGACTGCTGCATCGTGCACAGGCTCTGCATAACAAGAGGTCCCATCGAAATTTCTGTTTTGAATTGAATATAAAACACAAACTCATTTCCTTTAAACTGCTTTTATATATGGTAAAACCCACAAACCAAAACATCTTAATAGCGATGAATCTACCAGAGTTATCACAGTTTTTTATTTTCTAGTTTTGTATTTTCTACGTAGTTATTAATTTTATTTCGTTTTGAGTTTTTGTTTTTAATTCAGTTTCTAGAGTGGATTTTCTTGTTTTGGTTTAGTTTTTATTGAAAATGCTTAGTTCTACTTGTTTTTTTTAATTGTTTATTTAGTATTTTCAGCATTAATTTTAGTCTTTTTAGTTGCAGGGCATATGTCAGAGGCAGGATTCAGGAAAATGACCAAAGGTATTACAATAAAAATGCAGAACTTTTTGAAAGCAGTTTAGTAGACATCCGGAGTCTCAATAAATGCGTCCATCAGTGACTAAGAAATACTGAAACTAAGGATCGTTTCTCTATTTTAACTCAATTTTAGCTTTTCAAGTTAACAAAAGTGTTTTAGTTAGTTTTAATTTTTCCCCAAATTTTTATATTTATTCATATTTTAATTTAAATAAAGTTTTTTCTACATCTAGTTTTAGTTTTTAGTTAATTCTAACCTCGCCAAGCATAAAATTCAATAAAAAATTTAAATGTTGAAATTAAAATATAATGTTCAACTGCTTTTAGTTCAAATATTGAACTAGCCAATCACATGGCAGCAACTTAATGTATTTATGCCCGTAGACATGGTCAGGACGATGTGCTGAAGTTTAAATCGAGCATCAGAATGAGGATGAAAGCTGATTTAAGTGACTTTGAATGTGGCACGGTTGTTGGTTGTTGGTGCCAGACGGGCTGATCTGAGTGTTTCAGAAACTGCTGATCTGCTGGGATTTTCCCACACAACCGTCTCTAGGGTTTACAGAAAATGCTTCAAAGAACAGGAAAGATCCAGGGAGCAGCAGTTCATTGGAAAAAAATCTCTTGTTGATGCCAGAGGTCAGAGGAGGCTGACCAGAGTGCTTCGGGTTAGAAGGAAAGGCAACAGTAACTCGCTTTACCCTTGTGTTGTCCTCGGGATTCCCATATACTTGTTTGCCATTCGCCTACGGGTCATTTTTGACCTGAGGACAACAAAAGAGCATATCTGGGCAATCAGCCATCAGCAACAGAAGACCACACCAGGTGCCACACCTGTCAGCTGTGTGATGAGTCTACTGAAACATTTGAATGATCAGAATTTGGCATAAACAACATGTAATAGCTGCCATCAGCCGCAATCCAAATGCTTTACAGCACGGCAGATTTTAGAGCTCAGTGTATCTTTGTTTAATACCTTAATTTCCTTAAAGATTGGTTATGTAGATTACTAATGAATACAAATATAGAAAAGTTGATCAGTTTAAAAATATATTATATCCACGTCATCCTCCTTATGTGTAGCAGTTGGTCCTTCTAGTACTTCATTGTCCATCAAACTAGTCTGGGTCTTTATCAGGTCATAATAATTGAACAATTTGTCCATTTTATATATGTTTTATTAATTAAAAACAGGTCTATGATTTTACAAACAAGCTTTTACACTCGAAGAACAAACACTCATATAAAAATACATCTAAAAAACTGAAAATGGTAAATGTGAAGCTGCTGATATGTTTGACATATTTATCTACTGTACATATTACACCTTTAAATTCGTACATGTGCAGTCTTTGTTAGCTACAACAGTTTTTTTGTTTCATTACTTTTTAATACAAAAATATAATTTGAGATGCATGCTCTTAAGAGCAAATGAAGGATGTCCACTACAGAGTAGTGTGATGCTTAGCCAGGCAGTTGCGTAATGTCTGTCTGACACGTGGACTGGTCAGCGGGACATCATTCGCACAAACTCTGAAAGAGACGAGAAAAGAAGTGAGAGAGAAAACAGAGGAGGATAAACACGATCAGTCAACTGATCCCATCAAGGCCTTCCCACACCTTCAAAGTCCACCAGGCCATCTCCGTTCAGGTCAGCATCTTTGAGGATCTCGTTGATCTCTCTGTTAGTCACTTGTTCTCCCATTAGCTTCTTCATGGCCTCACGCAGCTCCGTTAAACTGATCTGGCCATCACCATTAGAGTCAAACTGGATACAGACAGAAAGAAACAGTCCTTTTAAGCACAATTATGAATATTCTTTAATTATTTACTTATTATGTTTATTGTGTTTTGCTCATGCATTTGTGACTTTAATAACACAAAATATTAAAGTTTTATAATCTAGGAAATCTTCATTTTTAACAGAAATATTCCTCATGCATTGTTGTAGGTTTGTCGGCCACTAACATGATGAGAAAACTGCCCTGAAAGGTCAAATGACAACTAAAAACAGTGAAGGTTTCGTTCCTCTCAGACGTTTGTTTTGCACTTACTGTGTTTCTTTTTGGATTCATTTGCTGTAACCTAACCTTCATAGCTCTCGTTTCTTTATATGTGAATATATTTTAGTCTTTCGCACCTGTTTGGCCTGCTATAGCAGGAAAAATGAAGGTGTCATTAAACACTGATGTGTTTGTTTTTGTTGGTTTGTGTTGTGTATCTGTATGTTTTTGCTTATTGTTTTATGTTTTATGTGACCTGCCTTGGGACATAAGGTGAAGTTTAATATTTTTGCTATGAACTGACATGCTGACATCTAATGTATCTGGTAAATTGATGCACATTAACATACAGTATACTATTCAAAGGTAAAAAAAAAAATGAAGTGGCTCTGTTTGCTATTCCACTGAGTGAGCATGCACAATGCCAGGATCCTGAAACGGTCTAACCTGAGTGAATCCAGCCATCATTAAACTATGCATACCTGTGATTTTTCTGCTATGAAATGTCACAATATCTGCTGTGAAAAAAGCCTACCTCCCACTTATGGTTACAAAGATCGGCTTGTTTATTTGAACCCATAATGAAGGTCTGCAAAGGAGAAATGAGCTTGACTTGTTCCATAAACAAACTGCACAGTAATAAATTATTATTTTTATCCAAGTTTCATTCCAGAAACTCCCTGCACGCTTCTATTTCTTCTTTTATATTTGAAGGGTTATGCTTAGTCTTATTTGTTTATCGTTCCCAATGGATTCTGATTTACAGGCCTCCCCCACAACTGATATTTTCATAGCAGCAAAGTCACATGCTACAATCCAATTCTGCTGTTAATAAAGTCACTGCAATTAAATTTATGTTTAGGTCTTTATGTTGTAAATGACAGCATGT